AACTTAATTTCTTTCTCAACTAATTTTGAAACACGTGTAGCGGGCTGTACAAAAGCCGATTATAAGAACCCATGACATGCTGACTCAAATAATAATTATGACATATATTGAAATTTGAGCGTATTCTTGAGAAGACACTCGAAATAAACGAAATAATATTTCAAAATAACACCCTAGAACAATCGAGTGTACAACACTGCCGATTTAGTGATATTTCACTTGACAACAATTGTGTAAATCGCTCGTTGTTGCCTACATTGAATGGTGGACTGGAGCACACCGAGAGGATTGGCTAAAGACGAAGGGCTCTGCTCAAGTGACGAGGCTGTCCAGGTCGAAACACATGTACAAGGATAGACTACATGACATGCCGGCTCAAATAATATTATGAAATGTACTGAAGCTTAATTCCCATCAAGCATAGTTTATGTGCTTTTCTTAGAAAGTAAGGGCAAGTTATTTGAGAAAGGCTCCGATTTAGTCAGCTCTGAAATCACTGCTCGTATCCTGATATGAAAAAGCATTCCCACACAAAATGGGTCGTAGAGAAAATTTCCTCTTATCACTATTCCCGACTTTGATTATACCATACTGTCCCATATAGTTTATCTTCTTCACTAATATTGTATCAAAAACTGCCAGCCTCTTACAATAGTAACTTCTGTTTAACGGTTTATTGCGTTTTATGAGAGTTGGAACTTATCATTCATTACAAACAGCTTCTAAAATTAACGTCAAAGAACTTCGCATGCTTACAAGATTGTGACATTCGACAATCGAACGAAAAAAAAAATTACTCAGTGACGCAGAGTAATGTGCATAACATTTGCGCCAGGTGAGACTCGACCCTATCCGGATAGGCCGGAATATGGGTTTCAGTCCGACCTAACGCAAAAGTTTCGCACATCACTCTGCATCATTGGGTTTATTATAGCATCATACCACCGCTAAATGACGTCAAACGAAAAGAATTTGGTTTAATCACCGAAAAATCACTTTTGAAGCTATCATAAACTCTTCATCAGAAAACATACGTCCTCTACACAATTTTTGGACGAACACAGTCTTGTCAGGTACTGAACGGTGGCCATTTGGGGATTTTATCTGAACTGAAGCGAAATTTTATGAAGATAAGACGAATGCGAGTGAAAAGTTGCCAAAAGTTCTCGCATTCATTCGCAAACGATTGGTGATTTGACAGCCACTTTTAGTTTCCATCTCGATTTGAATGGGAGTACCTCACGACACAAGATGAACGTAGGGTTTGACCTAAGGGCAACGCTCATATGGCAAAAAGATATGATAACTCGTCCTCATGAAATTACGCATAAATCCTAAAAAACGCAATAAAGAAATACCACCGGATGCAATAAAGAATAGAGCCTTGGCATTGATGGATAGACTTCTCCAAACGAAGCGCCATGAATTTGAAAATAAAGAAAAACATAGCATGCCATAAAAACATTGGTCTATGCCCACATAGAAGAATACCTAGGTGACAAGCGTCTTGATAGACGGAACACCCCACTGGGGACGCATAGAGCACAGAAGCAAGACGGAGTTGATTTTGAGATCGAAGTCACCATCCTTGCGCAGGAGCAAAAAACATCAGCGCGAAAGATCTTGGAAGCGTTTTGATTTAACACGACCAATCCAACTATAAATCGCAGGGAGCAATGCCTCGTTATCACTCGTGATATGAATCAGAATGTGAGATTGTTGTTTTGATGGTTAGGGTGCATCAGGAGCCTATGTGATGTCCTTCCGGTAATCTCCACTTGAATCATTCAGTGGAACACATAAAAAAGCGGTGAGTATGTTGAGAGTTGATTTTGTGCTTGATGCAATTGGATTCTAGGTCTGGTGATTTTTCCAAAGGAGTAATGGAGGTGTTTGACTGATTGGATTGCAGACAATTTGACCTTTCCAGGTTCTGAAAAAGGCGAACTGCCGAAACGAGAGCTATGAAATAAAGTTTAATGTAACACCTCATGTTTTGCTTAAAGAAGAAAATCAGAAATTATACTGAAGCATGCCGAGGTTAATAGACAGTCGGTCTTGGGAATTTTTAAAGAAAAAACACGCAGTTCGCTGACAACTGTCAAACTGTGAAAGCACTTCACAAAACGAAAACGAAGGAGGACGAGGCTTTCGGAGATTTTTTCATCAAGTAAAACACAGAAGTCCCAGAAAATTGCTGATTGAAACGGACGGCGTTAATGTATCTGACACTGTAGGAGGAGAAACGGTCACCGATTGTTAGTAGGGATCGGCGATGACCAACGCTCAAGATTTGAGCCATGGATGGATTCGACTTTATCGAGCATTGCTAAGACCACTGATTGCACATCTAGCCACTACAATGAGTTGTGGAAATCCACAGCCTAATATAAGCGACTTTCTGTCGATGTTTCAATATTTGAAGACCAGTGTGTCATCAGGTTTGGATATTCTTTGAAGCAATATTGCCCCAACTACCACTCTTGCATCATAAGGAGTTTCTAGTTAGTTTGATTAACCCAGTCGATATTCTTGCATAACGGTCCACTCTCAATGCTTCACCTATGGCCGAAAGTGTTCTTGAGTGTCTTTAATCTGTAACAAAAGATACGAAGTCATTTTCTTGAAAAGTCACCCGATCTGATGAGATGTTCGGAATAGCCTTCAATGGATATCAACAAGTGCGGGTCAAGTAATGATAAAATAATCTCAATTTCGAAAGAACACACTTGCAGGGTAGTATAGATCTAATGGGGAAAAGGGCAAACCTCATTATAATCTACAATGGCTGGCGGTTTCTTGCGAAGCAAATGAGGACGGCGTAAGGCACTCTAAAATTCACCAAAGTTAAGATATGCTTGTTAAATAAAAGATGTTGCCACATAATTTTTCTAAAAGCTGCTATACAAACCAAATCCATTATTGGTCCACTGCATGCTTATTTATTGATGAAACTATTCGTTCTTGTGTTGAGCAGTTTTACTAAGATTTTATTAATGATTTTGACCTAGTCTTTGCGTACGCTTGAACGCATAGAAAAAAAAACGCGATTTTCCAAGTGTTTTTTTATAGCTCCAAGCCTGCAGGACTCTAGTACAACATTGCGGCTGCAGCATTGTGCTGTGAGGGTATGAACTAGAAATTACCTATATTTGATGACTTTTGTCAAATGTCTATCTATTTCGCCTAGTGATAAAAACAAATTGAAAAATGCGACTTCCATCAACAACGTCGGCAAGAGAAATCGCAAACAAATCCCATGGGACACCTATTATTTAGTAAAAATGCTAGTATATATGCCTTGAAAAATCGATGCTGTGAAGAGTAACGAGGCAATCGAAGACGTTAATGTGAATTGCTTAGTTATACAGAGGAAAAAACTATGAGAACTGTAATCTAAAGGAAGAGGAATAAAAGACGAGAAGACACAAAAGGATAGAGAAGAAAATTAAAGAAACGGCGAGAAAACGAAATTCACCAAATATATAAGGAACGAAACAAAAATGATGAAAGTCGTTTGAGCGTTTTCTGAACACCACAGAAAAGCGATACTGAATGCAAAGCGTGGCAGAGCCGCTATTTCCTATTTCAACGAACTTCTCTGCCACTCTGTTGCATAAATAATTTCCTTCCTTGACTATGTGTTTGAATTTCCTAAGTAGTTTCGTTCATAATGTCTGTCGCGAAGTTTTTATCTCTTACTCCCACAAAGTCGCGGTGAGTGAGAGTAGTTCAGCAGATATAACCAAAGTTTTCAGTAGCATCTGCTTTTTTCTACCACAGCTGGGCAAGGGATAGTGAAGCCATTCTGCAAATGTGAGAATGTCATAATTTGTAATTAAGGATTTTTTATGAAGAGCTCTGACTATAGGATCGTATAGTAAAAGTCGAAGAGTGGACTTTTAGCAGGTGAACATTATTACACAATCTTCATCGTTTTTGCCTAACAATTCAGCAGCTTCTGCCATTGTCACACTTCTAAGCTGTAAGTTATGATCACTCATATAGTCTTCTCGTGCATCAAAACACTATAAAGAATATGGTTGAATACATAAGTCGGTCGTTTGAAGCATTTTGATCGGTAAAAGTCGCCTAGGATTTACATCGACCGCTTGTGGAGAGAAGACATCAGGCAAATGCTTCAGAATTGTAGACAAGATCAACTGTATTTGAATTTGAATCTACTCATGGAGAGTAAATAGTCTTGGAACAGTGGCTCACAAAGTTCGATGATGTTCGTGCTTGACAGCCTGAGACGAGGAAGTTAATAAAAGAAACGATAGGATAGGAAGATTGAGCGATGCCAAGCAACGTAAATGATTCAAAAAGGAAAATAAGTAACAACTGAGATACAACCTCTGCTTCGATACCCGAAAACTGTGATAGAATTATGAGAGTTTAAATTAAAGAGCTGCTTGCCCTGCTCATGAAAATTCATTCAATATCAAAACGGTAGCAGCTTCAACTATCGCAGAATGACCTCATGTGTTTCATGTAGCACAAGAGAGAACGTTATGAAACTCCCTATTAATTTTATCTTATGAGTTTCATAATGGTAGTCAAAAGCGGACGGTCCGACACATAAATGCGTATATTTTTCAGTGATTATTTTACACGAAAGGGTGTGGCCGAATGGTTGTGATGCTTATTGCGGTGCGGCGAGGCCGAATCCCACCCCGTATCACTCTCCGGCAATCATCAATGAATGCCCTATGGAACGCCACAGGCAGGCTATCGTCGAGATTGCAATAAGACTTACTCAAGTATTCTACGACGTTCAAGAAGAAGTCCAAAAAACGAATTAAACGCTAGATACACCAGGCCCGGCACAGTTGCTAAAAAAAATTATTTCGGTGCTTAGAAGCTTATTTCCACGTTTTTTGTAATCTTTCGACTTCTCTAACGCAGATGTTGTGGCAATGGACGTCTATGGATGCTTTATTAATAATTGTCAATGAAGTGTTGCTCTATCAGTAATTTTTCACTGGTCGGGCAAATGTGCCTCGGTGGTGTAGTTTAGAGCATGCATCCCCGGATAGGATGAAATGCGGGTTCGATTCCCGCCTGAGGCCGCGTTTTGTTCAGCACTCAATTCTCTTAGGAAATAATTTTTCAATCAACTTCTCGTTACCCAACGAGACAGAATTGTTGCTGACAAGAGTATGCAACATAGAGTGTGGCCAGTGAAGGGAGTAGAAAGTCTTTGTTTCGAAAAAAAAAGATATCGCATGAAATGTGATTTTTTTGACATGCAAAACGGTGTTTTCTATTTTCCCATCGCCGTGATTACTCTTGAATAACGAGAGAATGCTAACGCCACAAAGTAAATATCGTTTTATTTTTTTCCTAGCTTATAAAACCATATTAGATGCTAAAAACGGTATGATTTCGTAGTGGACGAGTTTTTACATTACATACAAAACTTATATACGTACTAAAAACATGTGGTAATGAGTAGAAGAACATTAAGCAAATTAAAGTAACATATAGCCAGCAGTTTCTCTTAAATGCCAGGAAAAACCAATTCATAATAAGAAAATTCCATCAAAAGGCGTAGATAATGTGAAATGGCCAGTGCGGTATCCACAGATGTCTTAGTAGGTAAAACAAAATATCAGGCTCCGTCCACTTCGCAGAAAAATAGATTTCAAGCACTCTTATGGAAGTGCTGACTAATTTCTTATATCACCCAGCAAAAAACCAACTTTCATATCTTTGAAGAATTTTGAGCACAGAAAACAGCCAGCAGTGATATTCTGATGAATAAAGGAAGCTGTCTCATTTGATGATGTAGGTAGCGAATTTCGTGACGGAGTCGAATATCGGGGAAAATTAGGCCGTAGAAGTGCATGGTCGCCGCAGTATCATCCTATCTTTGAAAACTCGGTAATTTCCGGATAAGCGCATGAAGAGATTGCTTGAGGAAAAGCGTCTTGCTATTTACGACTGAACAATAAAGAGATTGCCGTAAAATGAATCAAAGGACACATGAATTTTAATTGACAGTAGTTGTAGAAAGTGATTGTAAGGGCTCTGCAATAAAGATTTGTTAATTAATTTCATCTTCCGCCACGAGCTAGCAAAACTTTTTAATAAAATTACTTCCCTTTCAGGATCGGCAAATTGGTAAAGGGCTTGTTTATGAGAATAGCACCACTAATTTGGTATCTCGATCGCGTTCTGTTGTTGTCATCGATTTCTTGCCTGCTTGTCTTTCTCTTCAAATGATTTCCAACTTTACATGAATAACTACTTAAAATCACTGAATGTGAATTTTCTTATTTCACAGTTGATCACAATGGATTTTCCATAAATTGCCCGCTTTTGAAAAGTTCCTCCAGTCCTCTGAATTTCATGCAGCATGCTTTGATTAGCTACTAAAGTAGCTTGCTCTACCACGAGCTTTCACTCCGTTTATCCAGTATAAAAAATACTTATCATTTTTGCAGAAAATTCATTAGTAAAATCGAGTAGTATTGTAAATTTCCTTCATTCGGCTGATCAATGTTGTAATCTGCGACGAATAAACTCAGATTCTTCAGAATTGGTCGTTCTCGAAGTTTACTAAATTTAGGATAATTTAGCACCAAAACAAACTTTCTTGATAGGTGTATGAAAACCTCATATCACCTGGATTGTTGTGAGCATGTGGTAACGGAGTCCTTAACTTGGAAAAAATTCACCTGAAAGATGGTCCAGTCCACAATTGGATAAATGTACTGCATGAATTTTGATCATTTCTTAACACAAAGATAGCATTTTTTCCAAAGTAAGCAGCCACAAGATACTTCCTGGTGCTAGAAAGATTGGCTCTTATTCTTTTAGGAAAAGCGGGACTGTTCGCTTGAACTCGGAAATTAGATATTGTGAAATACATTCGCGTTCAGGTCTAATTGAGATACTCTGAGTGGCAAGGATTGCTCGCTAAAACTCACTGTCATTTTTCTGCCGTTATGCACACTACGTCTGAATGAGCTCGGTATTACGACGAGATAGATTAGAGTCTCTTATCACTCGTGTATCGCAGTGGCTGGAGATATAATGCATTACACACGTGATTGTTAGTTCGGTTATATGGCCCTAGCTCTCAGCAAGCCCTTTATCTACCCGGGTTGTGCAAATGGCTGCCAAACTTTTTAGGCAGGTAAGAGCACTGGTTTGATACATCAGTAGGCCACCCAAAGTCAGGGCTGTGGATTGCAGGATCTCGTTATCGATCGATAAGCCCAATTTTAAAAATTGACCACAGTGCTCTCAAATTCCCATCTAACCTGGAACTGAAAGGCTCAACAATCATTAGATTATATCGTAGTCGATCATCCCATACTTGAAAATCTATGAATTGTGTTTAAATAATAGCTGCTAGGATGTGCCTATAAGACTCAAACAAAGGCGACTTGTTCTTTGAATTCAAGTCAGTAAAACCTCCCACGTTCTTCGTCGATTGAATCAATAATACGGGTACGATAAATTAGAATATTCTGGAAATATATTTTGAGCCTTTCATGAGATCTTTTAAGGCGCTTATATACTCTAGGACACGTGTTTCAGCCTTTCAGTCTCATCAGTTGCACGGTGCCTTTGTTTCAGCCAATCCTTTGGGTAGACCTCTACATATAAAAGAATCGACGACGAACAATTTACACTGCCGTAAGGTGAAAAGACTACCTGCCGTGCAGTGTTGTGGGAGATGAAATTGGTTAAAACGAAAAGCATCGTGCAACTGATGAGGTTGAAAGGCCCAAACACGTGTCTTGTATTATATAAGCGCCATAACAGATCTCATGGGAGGCCCAGAACGTGTTATCAGACTATATTGCTTTAAACGAGATTCCAAAAACAGTCGAAAAGCAAGATATTAGCAAAATTTGTCTGGTTAACGTGTTGACGTTTTCGTAATCCGCACAGCTAGGTTGAGAGCACAGTTGTTCATTCTCGCAATATCTTTTCTTTTCAAAGTTGCTCAGAAGAATTTCTGTGAAGTTAGAGACTATCATCAAGCCTGAGTTTTATCGTTATAGTACGCTTACTTTTACGCACAGCTACACTTCGAGGGTGTCAAATCTACAAAAGCAGTTTTTATATATTCTTGCTATTCTCTTAATACCTACTTAATTAATTATAGATTTGTTCATGTTTGAAAGTTTGGAATGACTTTCTGACTAAATAAATTCTCGCTCTCGGAATAAATTCTAATAGTTGATGCAATCTTTTAAGCTCCATTAACTCAATACTTTTGCACATTTCATACTTGATTTGAAAGATTTTGTGACCACAAGTGATTAGCAATCACATGGAAGAAGATACCGATGATAATCACAGGAGTCGGTGCGGTTCAAAGTGAATCTTATTCTCAAGGTATAAATTCTCCTTCGGATTTATGGGATAGATGACTGCTTTTATGATGACCTCCGAAGGCGATGACGCAGATTCGATCCAAAGTAACCGTTACCCTTTCCATGCGGGCAGAAGATTTCCCTTTGTTGCCCTTTAATCCAGTAACTGTGTACTACTATCGGGTATCGTCATCCTAGTAAACGTCTAGTTGGAAGATGCTAAGTCACCATGTTATATCCACGATGGCGCGCTGTTATCTGAGATGGGGACATATGATTTGCGCGACATGTTGTTCTCTGGATCCCAAGAAAGAGAATCATGTCCGACAGATAAGTGTCAGCTAAAAAGAAATCATGCAAAGACTACCACAACTTTAAGGCAATTTATCTGAATAATTACTTAGAGAAATAACTCAAATGATCATATGCCACATCAAAACCACTGGATCTCTGTCATCCAATAAATTATCAATGAATTTGCTCTCAGATCAGTATTACCTCCCACCAGGTCTCCTAACAAAATATTTCAACTAAATTTTTTTGATTGTAGACGAGAAAGTATCCTAATTCCTGTATGATACCAGTAGTTCACAAAATACCTGAGCTTTGTGGTACCCAGTAGGCTTTGTAGGTTGTGCAAATAAATAATTAAGTATATAAGAGGACCTTTCGTTGCATGCCATTTCATGCAATATATATACATATATATATACATATATATACATATATATATATATATATATATATGCAGCGCAAAACAATGTGATAAGAGAAATAAGATAAATAGTTGTCGTAGATTACATAAACCAATAGCTGTCGTCTTAACTGTTAACACCTTCGATGCATTATACCGAAGAAAAATTGCTAGCAGAACAGGTACTCTGCTGGTGCAGAGGTTAGCACGTGATCCCTGTATGAGCGAATTCGGGTTCAATCCTACCTAGAACCGGTAATTTTCCACGTTGCTCAGCATTCCTGGACATGTAATTATAACAATATTGCACTCCTATAAGGGTGAATGAAATATCATCTGGATTAAGGTATGTTGACATAAAATTCGAAGCTATGCGGATTTTAGCTATGCGTCGAGATGCAAACGACTTTAATTATTATAAACGGTGAAAGGTGAGCGAGAACTTATTGATGCAACCGTACCGTGCAACGGAACTAGAGCTTCTAATAGAGCAAGCTACTGCGTTCACTAAGTAAATTAGACCGCATGAAATTCACATACTTGCATGGATGTAAAAAAATCACAAGCAAGGCGTGTTATCACCAGTATTCTCAAGTAGAAACAAAAACGATTTGGAAGGATAAACATCAGGTAAGAAATCATCATCGGAAAGGGAACGCGTGCTTGGAGGGAGGGAAAGCACATTACAAAAAGCAGCGAAATTGCTCGAGAAAAAGGATGCAGCACAAATTCTGCCTGCTCTTCTCGTGGTTATTTGTTTCCATTTTGATTTTCTTCAGTAAAAATACAATTGAAACTAGATCATTTATACACAAAATGCTATTACGTGGTTTAACCAAAGAATACGATACATCTTTTGAAGATAATGTATTTCTCCAAGTTTTCCTATGATAAAAGTGAACAGTGAAGAGAGCTCGCTCAGTCGAGGTACAGGCAGCTTGGTGTCAGATGGAAGAATGTTGTTGCTCAAACAATGTCCAAAGAGAGTTCGCGCCCTGCTCTCAGTCAAATAAGATTGTCGTTGTTGTCAATATTTATGCTC